CCAAGGGGATGACACATGGGAGGGAGCATCCCTGGATGCTGGACACCCTCAGGAACCAAATACCCTCTCAGCACGGGTGGCCCTGGCATCTGGACACAGAACATTCCTCACACGGTGGACAAACACTGCCATGTTAGCAGGCAGGAGAGAAAATCCTTTCAGAGACTTTTAAAGACTTTTTAAGTTTCGAATCCCTCATTCTTACTTTTTTTTTTTTTTTAATACAAAACCTTCAATGACGGATTGACATTCTTACAAAGAAAGAATTAGTGAACTGGGTTAAGATATTGATTAACTTGAGACTTTGCAAAGCTAAGCATGCATGGCAAAATTTCAAGAGAAATTACTCGTGCAAGGATTTAAAATAGAGTACCTACTTCCAGGGTGGTAAAGGCAGGAAAAAAACAAAGAAAGAAAACCAATGAATAATTCCCCAAGGACCAGATGTGCTCAAAATCTTTTCCCAAGGAATAAAGAGGCCATGTAAAGGTACTTTCCGGGGAATGAGGTTTACTTCCTCAGGCTACTCCACAGAGCAGGGGGGAAGCCCCAAGCCACAGGACCCAAGGTGTCTCCCAAAGCGTCTCACGGCCCACCTAACACCAAGCAGCTTTGATGAGGTGGGCGGAGCCTTAATATACTACATAAAGTACTTTATAGAATACATGAATATACGACATGAATCCCCAGGAAACAATGCACGTTCTGTGTTTAGGGGCCACGGCGAGGCCACACAGATGGTCCTAGCTGCCCACACACCCTGGGGCATGCATGTTGTATGAGCACGAGTGGGCTTGAGGGCACTCGGCCTCCAGGACCCCTGGTCTAGCCGCTGCAGTGCCTGGGAGGCAAGAACCAAGGTCCAGGGAATGGGAATGGGACTTTGCACGCGTACACACACACACACACACACACACACACACACACCACCAACCACAGATGACCAACTGCCCAAGCTGGGGCTTAGGAAGGACTTCCAGGGCATCCATAAGCCCAGGTGGTCTGTCTGTGGCTTTTTATTACTGTTGTCCCACAGGCCTGTCCCTCCCAGGATGCGGGCCTGCCTGCTTCATTAAGCCCAACCCTGTGCATGGGCAGTCTCTCTGACTGCATTGTTATCTTTAACAGCTCCTTCTGGAACTCAATTAATCAACAGCCATCTCCTCTGCAGAGCAGAATGCTCCAGACACAGAGTGACCAGCCTGACTCCCCACAGGCACACCCCCACTGAGCCGGGAATGTCTGAGAGCAGGGCAGCGACCTGCCCTCTGGAGGGTGACCTCCAGGAGGAGCCCACAGGAATGCCTCAAACTGGGAAAAGTGGGAGCCGGTGAGAGGGACACCTGCACAGGTCTGTTCTCCTCACCCTCATCTCCCTGCCTCTCTCTCTCCACAGACGTAGTCCAGAAGGTCTTGATGATGTGGACCCAACTCTGAGGGCATTCTGGGTTAGCGAACAAGAAGGCTCCCAGAAGCTAAATACGCAGTGGGGAATTTCTACCCAAGCTGAACACATCCCTGTCCTGGGACCCAGAAGTGAGTGCACATACGAGCCTACGACAAGATCTGTTCCAGAATGTTCACAGTAGTATTTTTCATCATCGCCCAAAACTGGAAACAATCCAGACGTCCATCAGTAGGAGAATGGCTGAACCAAGTGCGGGATAGACGTACGATGAAACTACTCCACAGCACAATCACTTCAGCATTACCTTGGAAGTTCATCAACTAGGGCCCACGTGAAACAGTCCCCTTCCCCCCTCAAGGCCTGTGTGTGCGTGTCCATGCCGTCCTCTGCCCCATCCCCATCGGGCTGCCGTTGATCTTGTCTAGGGGACATCCATCATATGGGTATTTAATTCAGGAGACTCCAACTACAAGTTATCAGGCCCAAACAGGGTGAATGATTTCAATTTAAAAACTGTAATTAATAAAACTGTAAAATTCCATTTTTCACTCTTTATTAGACACCGTGGTAAAGTGCCACACGGGGATTGGGGTAGGCGAGGCAGCCCCAGGGTGGTGATGCTTGACTGGCATCTTCAAGGTCAAGTTTGCTGAGTGCACAAGATAGGGAGAGAATACCAGGCAAAGGGAACAGCGTGAGCAAAGGCAGAGAGGTGTGGAGGGCTTCCCAGAGGGCCCTGCCCTCTGCCTCCAGGCTGTTCCCCTGGATCAAGTCTATCCACCAATTTCATCAGGTTTACTCCAAGCCTCAAGCACCGACTGTGGCTCTCTATTGCCCTACATATCAGATCTAGCTTGTTAACCCATCAGATGCCTCCGTCAGCCCCTCCCCACTGCTGCACAATCATTACTGTCCCCATAACCCCTGCACCAGCTGGACTGTTGTTGGACATCTGGGAAGCCATCTGCCATCCTGCAGGCCTGGCTCACGCACCCGTCTGCAGGGAGAAAAGGCCCCGCTGCCCTTGCCCCGCTCTGCCCCTGCGGTCCTTGCGACGGGAAGAGCTGACTCTCATGGCTGCTCTCCAACCAGGCACAGCCGTGGGCTACTCTTCTGGGGTTGGGGATGGGATCCGACACCTGACGTTGGCCGGGCCTGGGAACACACCTGGTTCCACCTTCACCAGCTCTGCCACAGACACAGCTGTGCGGGGCCTCAGTTTCCACGGCTGCAAAGCGGGTAATGACTATTCCCCCCTCATAGGGCTGTGTGAAGACTATAAGGGAAGACCTAGAAAAAAGTTCCAGCACTGAGCTGGAGACAGAGCAGGTGCTCAAGAAGCACAGGCTTGCCTGCTGTTTCAAGACCCAGAACACACACGTGCTGGCTGAGGTTTTCCACCTGAATCTCCACCTGAGTGCCACTAAGCCCCTTCCCGTGTCCACAGCATCACGTATGCACCCCAGAAATCACTGCGGGCCAGCAGGGGGACCGTCAGCCTCTCCTCCCCACGGCTGGCCAGGCTAACTCATGCTGTGTGTCCAGCCCCAGAATTTCCACCCAAGCTGAACGCATCCCTGCCCTGGGACCCAGCAAATCCGTGACGAGGATTCTACTCAAGAGAAGTGAGTGCGGATATGTGCCCACAAAAAGATCTGTTCCAGAATGTTCACAGCAGTCTTATTTTCCATAATCTTCAAAAACTGGAAACAATGCAAACATCCATCAACGGGAGGATGGGTGAACCACGTGTGGTGCAGCCATACAATGAGAGTACTCAGCAGTAAAAAGGGAACAAAGTATCAATACACCCAACAATGTGAATGAACCTCAAAAGCACGACTTTGGATAAAAAACCCTGGACATGAAGGAGGATTCCATTCACATGAAGTTCAAGAACAAGTACATCTAAAGTGAGGGGCGCCTGGGTGGCTCAGTCAGTTGAGCGTCTGACTTCGGCTCGGGTCATGATCTCACAGTTGATGGGTTCAAGCCCGCATCGGGCTCTATGCTGACAGCTCAGAGCCTGGAGCCTGCTTCGGATTCTGTCTCTCTCTCTCCCTCTCTCTTTCTCTACCCTTCCCCCCTCACGCTCTCTCTCTCCAAAATAAATAAACATTTTTAAAAAAATTTTTTTAAGTACACCTAGAGTGAAAGATGTCAGAACAATGGTTCCTCACCGGGTGGGTAGAGACTGCCTGAGACAAGGCACAAGGGAATGTTCTAGAGGGATGAAAATATCCTGTATCCTGCCTGGTGGGGTGGTTGCACAGTGTCTCACCTTCCTATGGCTGCTGTGATAAATCTTTATTAACCTAGTGACCGAAAACCAGAGAGTTCTGGAGGTCTCAAGTCTGAAACGGGTCTCACTGGGCTGAAATCAAGGTCCTGGAGGCTCCAGAAAAAAAGCCATCTCCTTGCCTTTGCCAGCCTCTCGAGGACATCTGCATTCCTTGGCTTGTGTCCCCTTCCTCCGTCTTCAAAGCCCGGAGCAAAGCATCTTCCAATCTCTGTCTCTGACCCTCCGGCCTCCCTCTTTCACTTTTAAGGACCCTTGGGATTACACTGGGCCCACCCAGATAATCCAGGATAACCTCCTCTCCTCGGGACCCTGGATTGAATCACACCTGCTCCGCAAGGTAACATGCGGTGAGTGTTGCGGGAAAGCGGGACACGCACATCCCTGGAGGGCGCCCTTCAGCCTCCACACACATGGTGCACATGCATGTAAAGCTGTGCACTTAGCAGTCCAAAGCTTCATGGTATTGCCGATTACACCACCAATCACAACACTAAGGAGCAAACGAGGACGGCTCCGGGTGTCCTGTCCCAAGAACGACTTTGCAGGTACCCCTTCCCTTAATCCCACGCCACCCTGCACCGGTGCCCGGCTTTACAGGAACTGAGGCGTGGCTGAGAGCAAACCTCTCTTGCAGTTGGCAGGAGACAAAGCTAATTGGAACCCGAGTCTGAGGACTCCAGAGCCCTGCTCCTTGAGGTCACCAAAGACCCTTGCTATGGGGGTCAGGAAGGCGGCACAAAGGAGAAAGGGTTTCCTTCCAGGCCCGCTTTTACTGCGATGTGGGTACAAGAATTTCCCCTAACTCTGCTCTGGGACCAGGGGGGATGAGAAAAGAAAAGTCAAAGCAGAGTCGTGGAGCGATAGACGCTACAAACCGGGAATCCCCCATCCAGAGGGGCAAAGACCGGACTTTTATGTGGAATCTCTCATTCCTTTCAATCATAGGCCAGGCACTGAAACGGATGAGCAAACGTTTGTCCACAGGCCCCCAGCCTGCCACTGGCACAGCCCAGACCGCCCCTCCCCTGCTCCTCCAGGCCGCCAGCAAGCAGCAGCCTCGCCCCTGCAGGGCCTGTGGCACTTGTGCTGAACCTTCTGGAAGGAAGCCAAGGGGCTCCTGGGAGAAGGGACCCGTGGGTCCATGGGGAAGACCACAGAGGCAGCTGTAATGAGGGTTCCTGACACCAGTGTGGCTTCCAGATGGGACAGGGGCCCTGCCCCCCAGTGAGCCTCTTCCCCTGCCCCCCGCCCAGGCACCTGCAAAGGAGAAGGGGCCAGGCCTATGTCCACCTGGGGGCCCCTGACCCCACACCGATATCTGGGTCCCGGGTCACCTTTATCCAGAATCTAGTCTAGCTATGTGGAGCCAGTCGCGGCTAAGAGCGCCTCGGCCAAGCGAGTCAGGACTCTAGGAGGAGAGAGTGAGGGTTACCGTCCAGCACCTCGCCATGCCTGCACGGAGCCCACACGGGGGACCGCCCGGCTCATCCTGCTGCCAGGTGTTTGCTGCACGAGGAAGCAAAGCATCTTGGGGGTGGGGGCGAGGGATGTGAGGAAGCATGACAGAAACGATCCAGAACAAACATTTTTGAAGAACCCACACTTTGGGCTCAGAAACCAGCAGGCCCACCACTCTCTCCCTCCCACTCCTTAACCAAGGACCATAAACTTTGGAGACTCTGTGTCCTTGTTCATAAAGGGAGGACACTACCCACTGCCTCACGGTACTAGGTTCCATGAAGGCCCATCGACCAGCTTTGTCTTGCTATGCCTGGCAGTTCTGGAAGTCTGAGCACCAAGGGGGTTAATGGGGCTGACTCTGGACGTGGTTTCCTCTTTTCTTCCCTTGGATTACATTTTCCTTTTTTTTTTCTTTCTTTTTTTTAACGTTTATTTATCTTTGAGGCAGAGAGAGACAGAGCATGAACAGGGAGGGGCAGAGAGAGAGGGAGATACAGAATCAGAAGCAGGCTCCGGGCTCTGAGCTGTCAGCACAGAGCCCGACGTGGGGCTCGAACTCACAGACCGTGAGATCATGACCCAAGCCGAAGTCGGACGCTTAACCCACTGAGCCACCCAGGCGCCCCCTTGGATTACATTTTCCTTGATGGACATGTGATGATCTTGTCACGAGAAACAAAGTTACCTTTCGCTCACTCAGTACCTGCCCAGGACAGCAGCTGGGGACAGAGGAGAGGGTTGGGCGGGGTGCGGTGAGCAGAGTGTGGGGCTGGCTTGCAGGCATCACTTCTTGCACCCCCGCCCCGGGGTGCCCCTGCCTGCTCCTCTCTTTCCTACACCAGAACCCCAACCTCCACCAGCTCCCCGTGATCACCGGGCTCCCACCTCCGGTGGGGGGGGCCAGCTCTCCCCCTGGCAAATCTCTCCAGCAGCCCCATGGGGTAGGCTTTATTTCTCAGCTCCATCCCAGAGAGTTGGAAACAGAAGCTCAGGGACATTTCCAAGGCTGCCCAAGGCCTCCGCAGAGCTGAGACTGGAACCCGGACCTAAACTCACCCTGCAGTTCTACACGGACCCCCAGACGGAAGCGCAGGGACCTGGCCTGGAATGGGGGTCTTGAACTGCCTTGGCCTTGGCCTCCTCCAGGCCTGGGAGTGGAGCTACACTTAATGGGAGTCACCTCTGGCTTCAATACTCAACACCGGCCAATGTCCCCAAATGTGCCCTGCCTGAAGTGGGCCATCCTGGTGCTGAGGCAGGAATCCTGCAGGGTCGGGGGGGGGAGGGGGGGGGTCTCTGTTTGGCTCCCAGGCCTCACCCTGGGCTCTGATGACCTGGCTCTACCGCTGGGCTCCGACCTTTCCAACCAGCACGGCCCGAGGCTTTAATCATTTACATCTGGTCAGAGTCCCGGTGTTCAGTTGCCAAATCTGAGCACAAGCCTGGAGCTGGCAGTGTCCAGGAGATGACCACACGCCCCCCTGTGGGTTCTGAGCCCTGAGGCTTTGGGGGAAGCGGGCAGGGAGGGTCACCTTGAGTTCTAAGCACAGTCACAGATGGAAACCAATTTGCAAATTCTGAGAGGGAAACCGGTTGTAAGCTGGGACTGGGGAGCAGCGTGAGGGAGGAGCTCTTCGGGCAGAAGGAGGTGAAGGTCTGGGGACGGGAAATCCCAGACTGCTCCTCAATGAGGCACAGGATGAGCGGGGGGCCATCCCTCTGTCGCCGTCATCGTATGTCGGGCTTCTGTGTTTGCTTTGGAGTTTATTGCAATCTCATTGCTATTTTGCATTAGAAACTGTCCCTGCCCTCCAACCCCCACAGTAAGATTTTCGAGGAGCAATTTTAACAGGACCCCAGCTGCATTCTTCAGCGCATCTGTATTCTCACGAGGCCTTACTCTACAGGAAGACATGTCCATTACATAACTCAGTGAGGAAGTCTGTGTTGCCATATGAATATGCATTCAATGCACGAGGTATAGATACAAATAACAAGTGGGCCACAGTGCATTCCTACTGCTCCGCGATAAATCCCATCCTGCTGGCTTCTCTTCCTTCCAAAGTAGCCCAGGCTCCGTCCCCCAGCATGTGGTGCTTTGGAATTTCACAAGCAAACGTTCAGGAAGACCCAAGGAGTACAGCATTAGGGCAGAATCAGTGTCTCTGACCAGCCAGATTCTTGTGGGTTCATGTCTGAATGAACCATATGAACCACAAGAGAAGACCTACCAGAAGCTTCTAACATCTCTTAGTCTTAATCTTCCCCTGTCTCTGTCTCCCTTCCTCTCCACCTCTGTTACTCCCTCTCTCCCCATGCATACGCATACATGAATACTTATACATGCATATGTACGTACACACACACACACACACACACACACACACACACACACACAGCAGCCTCTCCCGAGATGAATCTAACAGGACCTGGCAAGGCTCCAGCAGTATCAGGTCTCCGCTGGGTCTACAGCACCTCTGATCGCTGTCTTCCTTATGACTGGCCCCTAGAAGCCTGGTGCCCTAGGTCAGACCACCCCCTGCTTCCCAAACCCTTCCCCGGGTACCCCTGCCACCGTCACGCACAAGCTAGGTACTGCCACCCCAGTAGCCGTATCCTCAGCCTCCCCCCGTCCCCAGTATCCCAGCCCAGACAAGCAGAGTTTTAGTTTGCTCTAAGGGACAGCATGACCCTATTCTGCCACTAGGTCACTGTGTGCTATTGAGGTCACTGCCACTTTCTAGGAGGCTGGCTCACAGAATGCTGAAAGCCTCTACTCGCACCCATTTCTGTCTCTGATCACAAGGCCACAGTGATGCCTGATAAAGACCCAAAGGTACAGAGCACCCCCTCACATCTCTACCAATCCCTTGTTCCACGGTGCTTCAACTTACCAACCAGTAAACCTCCCTCCCAAATTGCCTAACATAGCATTATGAAGTTATTTTGCCAAAGACAGACACCGAAACTTTTTTTAAGTATTTTTTAAGTTATTTAGTTATTTTGAGAGAGAGAGAGAGAGAGAGAGCAAGTGGACAGGGGCAGAGAGACAGGGAGAGAGAGAATCCCAGGCAGGCTCCACACGGTCAGTGCAGAGCCCAATGCGGGGCTCAAACCCACAAGCCCCATGAACCACAAACCCACAAGATCATGACCTGAGCCAAAGTCAGACGTGAGCCACCCGTGCGCCCCTGAAATGCTTTTTATTAAACCTATTATCTGCTATAATATTTGAGTCATAAAAGAAAGGAAAATAGGATCTCATCGGTTATCTGTTGCTATTAACAATGAGAAAGTTTCCCATAGGCCGTTCATCTACTCTCTGCATGCACAGCCCTCACCTAGGAACCACCTACTGTGGATGACTTACTCGGTTACTAGCACCATAACTGTCTGTAAGAGGCAATTACTCCTTGACCACAGGACAGTGCTCCCCCCAGCTCCTTCCCTCTCCCAGCAAGTGACCCCAGCCCCTGGCCCGGGGTAACAGTTCCAGGGACAGGTCATAATCATGCCTGGACCTAAGGGCCTCCCCTGGGAATCTGGACTGGCGCGAGAAAGACTGGGGCACCCATAAAGTGGGCCTGCAGGGAGGGAGGGACAGGCCACAAGCAGAGTAAAGCAGAAGAGATCGGGGTGGGGAGGGGGGAGAACCCCAAGCTCCCGGTGCTTTCCCTCCTAGAGCCGGCACGGAGGGAGTTCCAGGAGCCATCCTGGGATCCTCTACAAAATCTCCTTTTGGCTTCCTCTAACTAGAAAACATGCAGTTACCTGAAACTAAAAGCCCTACTTAACACTGGCACAAAAAATAGGCAACCACCAGTGTCGGTGGAGGAACTATGCAAGCGAACAGAGAAGGCGGCGCCTGGGGCTCGACCTACCGTTCAGGACTCTCACTCAGGGCACTCTGAGGGCACACTTTAGTCCTCTACCTTAAACGTTACCTCTTCAAACACTGAAATGTAACTCCTGCAGGGAGGGACAAGTCTTTAAGTTACGGATGGCAAAGCGGTGTAGACCCCGTGCTGTCTCCGATTGGGAGGGGCTGGCTGGACTGGGGTTAAGAAGGATTCTGAGACCACCCTGGGTTCAGTTGGGAAGTGTGCAGAGGGAGCCAGCCGACCTGGATTCTTACGCTGGCCTTGCCCAGTATCTGGGAGCAGTCTCCTCAGCCCTCCCTGACCTCGGTTTCCCCATCTGTAAAGCGAGAGGGCAGGCCCAGCCCCGACATGTGGCCGACAAGCTCCCACTTGGCTGTCAATGCCACCTACGGGCTCTGTTTCCTCAACAACTTCTATCTCCGCTTTGGGAACAGGACTTCTGACGTTTGTGCTGTAAACAGTTTCTTATCCCAACCGGCAGAGATGGCCCCTCAGGGACAAGGAGAAAAGAAAAATAAGGGAAGGAAGTGACCAGAGGAATTTAGCCTTTAGCCCATGGAAACCTGGGGACAAACAAAGAGGCCGGCCTGCGGCCTCCGAGGCCGCAGACCCGAGCACTAGCACCCACATCATCCGTGTCCCACGCCGGAACCGGGAATCTGTGCCCGGTCACAGGGAAACCCACAAGACCGCAGGGCCTTTTGTTTTTATGTTTGTTTACTTTTGACAGACAAAGGGAGCATGAGCGGGAGAGGTGCGGAGAGAGTGGGAGGGAGGGGATCCAAAGCAGGCTCTGCCCTGACAGCACAGAGCCCGACGCGGGGCTCGAACCCGTGAACCGTGAAATCATGACCTGCGCCGAAGTCGGCCACTCAACCGACTGAGCCCCCCAGGCGCCCCCACGGGGTCTTATTTACGAAACACGGAAGGCAACAAGGAGGATCCCTTTAGTG